TTTAAATTACCTGAAATAACAATTCCTTAGTTTTTATAATTTATTTATTTATTTTTTTTTGGTACAACTAAATTGTTTTATGTTTAATCAGCTTAAAATTGTAAAGAAAAATTTAGTAAACTAAAATGATTTGCATTGGGACAACATAAAGGTGTGAAAACCAGCATTTTTTTTACATTGTGTCTTGATTAAGGTACATATATTGGTTTGAAAATGGAAAGCTGCAAGTGTAACAAATGTACCATTTTAAGTTAAAAACATATAGCTGCACACGAAGAATAAACTTCATAGTAGAATTGCTGCGTAATCTTCTCCATCAGTTGTTTGTTAAATCCAACATATTAGGCAATGCACACTGGCACTATCTCACTGGAACCGATGCCATTAAAGCACATGTTTGCCAGGCTCATTTTGATCTCCGGCTTCACTGCAGAAAGGGGATAATCAGAAGCCAGGATTGATGCGGCATTTTCAATTCCATTGTTCTAATGGGCTGAGCGGTAACCTGAGCGGGATATCCTTGCCATTCAGTATTGAGAGGCCCTCTTCACTGAAACTTACACCTGCTCTCGGTGTCTGTGCCTTTTGTACCTACTTTCTCTGCTTTGAATGTGAACTCTCTTCTTTTCAGGCTTTGGTTACATCTAGGATTTGATGGCTCATATTCTGTCTTTATTGATTAGGAAAAAAAATATCAAATGCACTGCTTGCGAATCAAAAAGAACAAGTAAAGTGCCTTGATTTAAAGCTATATCAGGTGCTATTATGTCTCCATTTACACTGCAAGGAACTAGATGTTTGCGTTATGTTGCATGAAATAGCATGAAATATAGAAGTTGTTTACAAATGTATTCTTTTTTATGGATACTCACAAGTTTAGGAACATAACTAGTCCTCTGATATATCAGTTAGTGAAATGATCTGAAATAAAAAGCCAGGTATATTTGCTGTTTTATGATATTTCTGAGGACCTAGGAACAATTTTTGATGCACTTAAATTACTTATGTCAATATTTTGTTTCGTCATTAAGAGTCTCCCGTTGTCGTCAACAGAAGAGTAACAACAGGGGTAGGATCCAAATGCAGCTTTAATCGAGTGTCAAGGCAGCCAAGGTTCAATACAGGAGCAGACAGTATTATGCGGATAATCCAAAGAATAAACAGTGAAACAGCTAAAGGGTTTGAGGCAAGCAACAATCAAAAAACAGCAAAAAAAACAAAAAAAAAAAACAAAAACAAATAAAGGGTCAAAAACTTAGTATGACAAGTAAAATGCTTTGTAAACTTCAAAGTTGAAACAAGACTCAGCCACAGATGTGTGTGAATATTATATATTAGGAGGTAAACTGAAACCAGTGTGTGACTGCAGAGCATGATGGGACTTGCAGTTCGTCTAAATGACAGGGAATGCTTTCCAGCAGCCTAAAAATCAACACAACTGGCAATCATAACACTTACACATTGAGGTGTATATAATATTTTATTTAAATAATCAAGGTACTCAAAAATGTTGTAGAAAAAAAAAATTATTCACATTGTTTTAACATTGAAAGCATATACACATTTACACCAGGTGTCGATAAACAAACCACTCAGATTTCACTCAAAACTATCAATTAAGGACCTGATTAGATAAATCTTTTAATTATCTTTCAAAAGAAGAAGTTTAGTCTTCAGATTGGCTTTCAAGTAATGATGATCTTGTGATACTGTAAAAAAGTGGGCTGTTGTGATTTGGGGCAGAGACCAATATACTGAAGAAGCCTTGCGACAACTACAGGGTAGTTAATGAAATTTGAGTTGGATAAAAACGACTGATTTATTGACACATGTTAAGACATAATTTCAGTTTTTTACACGCTGCTTTTAATATATATATATATATATATATATATATATATATATATATATATATATATATATATATATATATATAAACCAAGAGACCCCATTATTAATCAGAATGGGGCAATAAAACTATTTAAGTAGTTTTCATCCCAAAGGTTGACATTCCCCTTTTTATACAATTTTAGAGGTTAAAAAAAATTTGTGAAAGAAAAGGAGGACTTTGATTTTAAGGCCTAATATATCCAGAGATTTAAAGAACAAGGTTATAAGAAAAAATTGTGATTCATAAAGCATCTGATTAAGCTAAGAATATTAATAGAGATGAGATTTTGGTGCAAATTCTGTTTATTGCAATTATTGTGAGAATATGGTTAAGACAAATGTATTTGTTTATGTAACATCAGGTCATTATAGCGCTGTCGCCTCACAGCAAGAAGGTCACTGATTTGAGCCCCTACTGGGTCAGTTGGCATTTCTGTGTGGAGTTTGCATGTTCTCCCCGTGTTCACATGGGTTACCTCCAGCTGCTTCGGTTTACCCCACAATTTCAAAGACATGTGTTATAGGTGAATAGGGTGTGCTTAAAAATTGGCCTTAGTGTATGTGTGTGAATGAGTGTGTTTGGATGTTTCCCAGTGATGGATTGCAGGTGGAAGAGCATCCGCTGCGTAAAACATATGCTGGATAAGTTGATGGTTCATTCCACTTTGATGACCCCAGGTTAATAAAGGGACTAAGCCGAAAAGAAAATAAATGAATGAACAAACATCAGGTCATTAAAAATGTACTCATTTACTCACTCTTCACTTATTTCAAGCCTGTTTCAGTTTCTTTCTTCTTATCAACACAAAAGAATATATCTGAAGGAATGTTGAAAAAACTGATAACCGTGGACTTTCACAGTCTTTGTTTTTTCCTACTAAAGATATCAATGGTTGAGGTTGCAACGAACAAACTCATGAAGGTTTGGAACCACTGGAGGGTGAGTAAAATGATGACAGAATTTTTATTTTTGGATAACAGTTGAAGTCAGAATTATTAAACCCCCTTAAATATTAGGACCCCCTGTTTATTTTCCCCCCAATTATTGTTTAACTGAGATCAGATTTTGTTCAACACATATCTAAACATAATAGTTTTAATAACTCATTTTTAATAACTGATTTATTTTCTCTTTGCCATGATGACAGTAAATAATATTTGACAAGATATTTTTCAAGACACTTCTATACAGCTTAAAGTGATATTTAAAGGCTTAACTAGGTTAATTAGGTTAACTAGGCAGGTTAGGTTAATTAAGCAAGTTATTGTATAACAATGGTTTATTCTATAAACTATCGAAAAATAATATAGCTTAAAGGGGCTAATAATTTTAAAGTGTTTTTTAAAAAAATTAAAAACTGCTTTTATTCTTGCCAAAATAAAATAAGACTTTTTCCAGAAGTAAAAAACATTATTAGACATACTGTGAAAATTTCCTTGCTCTGTTAAACATAATTTCAGAAATATTTAAAAAAAGAAAAAAGAATTCAAAGGGGGCCAATAATTTTGACTTCAACTGGATCTCTTTAAGATAAATCCATTTAGGAAACTGAGATTAGCTTAATATGAAAATGCTATATGAATTTGCAAACCTCAATATCACATGGCTTTACATTATATAGATAAAATGGTAACCCTATAGTACACTGGAAATAGTACACTGCTAGAAAATGTATTAAGGTCAATAGGAAAGGAGATAGGATAAAGATTTCAACAGAGAGAGACTTTCTGGAAAGAAAAATGTCCAGGTTTAAATGTAGAATTTGATTTTTCTTCAGTAATTTTTCTGTTTCTGACTTGATAATTTTTTTTATCTTTATTGTTATTTATGATATTGTTATGGTGTTTAGTTTAAATTATTTCATCATTATTAACTTTTCCTCTTTGTTAATTTAAATAGATACTTTTTCTTAAATTGTAAATAATAATCTTGATAGCTTTAACTGATCAAGTGACTATCGTGTGACAAACTGATTGTTTAAATGGACTCTGTGTGCTTATATATTGACACCCCAATGAAGATAAGTTAACCATAATGTATCAGTACACATGCATATTGTTTTCAATGTGAAAGCCATGTAAATTTAGGACTTTTATTTTATTCTATAATATTTTTGAGTGCCCTGAACTGACATTTTTTTGATTATGTAAAAAAAATGCTGCATCCAAAATGGATGTTTTCTGACATATACAATTTTTACCATTTGACGTTTCTTAGCTGGTTTTATTCACAAAAGACCACATCTACTCTAATTTTATTCTAATTTAATTGCTTTAAATATTTCTTGAGAACATCAGGTATCACCTGACATGTCTGATCTTAACCATCTGAAATAAATCAAGTTGCTTTCTTTTGGATTTTATCTGTGGACTTTGGAATAATCTGTGTATTTATAAATATACTTTTAAAAAATCACAATTTTTAATATCCAAAATCTTTGCTGAAATATGTGAAATAAGTATCTAATATAAGTATATAATATGCATTCGGAAATTAACTGGGTATGAAGAATAATTGTTTTACATGGTTTTGTGGCAGTTATTACTTTCTAGAGCACTTTAGTGTATCTATAACTTTTTTTGCATATACTGTAAAAGTCAAGGCGCATTATTATGGCTATTAGGTGGTTTTGTTTAATTTATACACAGCATGGTGAATAACGTATAGCTTAAAGCTAAAGATCAGACAATAGACTGTACATAATGTCTTACAGAGTTCAAAGCTCATGCACAGTAGCATGCTGATGGTTGTCCTGGATATAAAAAAGCTACAAATAAGTAACCACAGAACTGATACATTGTAAAAAGCAATTTGTTACTTTACCTAAAAAGTGAGTAAACCCACTGCCTTAAAAGTGACTTAACTTGCTGTAAAAAAGAGAGTAAACCTGTTTTTAAACTTAACTCAAATGATCCACAATTACTTAATTATTTCAAGGCAAAGGGTTTACTCACTTTATTAAGTAAAGTCAACTATTGGCTTTAAAAGAATTAAACTTACTCCTTTTTTAAAAAAAAAGCTAAATCAACTCATCACTTTTTCCAGTGTAAAAAGCTAAAGCAGATCCAAAAAAAAAAAAAAAAAAAAAAAAAAACAGTAAGGCAAATGCAACAGTTTAGTGTCTTTATTTTATTTTCCCTGAACAGTTTTATCATTGGTCATTTGAGGTGAATGTGGAACAACGAACAGACACATGTATTCAAAAGTCATTTGTTTACTTCATGTGCTGATTCTTATTTTGAAAAGAAATCAGGTGTAAAAAGCAAAATGACAGAAGAGGCTGCGGTGCATATAGCCGAGGGCTTGAGGAATCTTTCAGGATGAAACCATAGTCTGGAACTCTGTTGAGAAACATCAGAAATGAGAGCATAATTTAGGTAATGATTTCACAGAGACGTTCTAAAGAAAACATTTCACTATAGCTTTAACCTGTGGAAAAAACTATGTGTTTCAACATATGCAAAAGAGGTTATTTCTATCAACTATATCCCTTTTTAAATAGATAATGCTAAACTGTTGTTAATTCAAAATCATTTGCCTGCAGCTTTTAGACTTTGTCAAGCGTGTGCATGACCGTTACTCGGGATTGAACTAAAATAATATGAGATGATCCTGATCTTTGATCCTCTTACATAATCTAGTGATAGATTTTCCTAGAGTTTCCATGATCTAAGACAGCTATTTAATCTAAGTAATGATAAGAGAAATCAGATAACTGAACAATCAAACAGAGGACATAAAAGGACAAACATAAATGCTATGGAAAATTATCACTCAATTGTCTGGGAAAATGAATACTATTAGATGTAAATATGAAATGAGACTAAAAAGTAAATGCATAAAACACAAAGAAATTTTCAAATAATGAATAAAATATAAATAAATACATAAATAGAGCAAAACATTTACCATCTACTCCAATTCGGCCATCACTATCATCATCTGCAGCTGTGAGGAGGCTCTTAATCTCCTTTTCTGTCAGGGTTCGTGCCCCCGGGAAAAACCGCTGGAGAAAGAACCTGATTCACACAAATCCATCGATGAGATCAATAAAGTGCTGTGCAACAGTCATCAAAACACACTCTCCTGATTCAGCATTTTAAATCTTCTTCCATTTCTTTCAATCAAATGACCAAAAAAAATAAAAAATCCCCTTCACACATTCCTGCTAAAGTGTGATGTGAATGTCATCTCCTGTGTTCTAGCTCTGTTGACGTCCTTACATAATACAGATAAATCACATAAAAAAAACATAATGACAGCATCTCCATGGATTACATTCAGAAAGGACTTAGTTTAAATGGAACTCTGGAATTATCAGGTAAGACATGGACATATATTGTAAAAAGCTTAAAAACAACAATTCTCTTTATGCACCGGATTTCATGCATGCCTATTATAAGCATGGCGTTTTTAGCATTAAGAAGTGCCTCCTCTGATCACACACTGAACAACTAAATCCTTATAAACTGTGCTTCGGATGTCCTGAAATCACATAAGCATAATCTATGGCTACATATTTTCAGCATTAGCAAAGCTGAAATCACATCTCTTCGTTTTTGATGAACTCAGCACCGGCTGAAATGACATACTTGAGCTCAGCCTCCTCGATAAATCCACTGTTATCCTCATCTATGATACGGAAGACATCCTTCACCTCCTGAGGAGTTTTCTGGCTCAGGCCACAAAGCTGGAAGAACTTTTTGTAACAAAAGGAGTCCGGAGCTGTTGGAGAAAGCCACATTAGATAAAGGCGAATATATTGCCAGACAAAAGTAGTTTGTCTTAATACTATAATCATGATTTATTGTTGTTATACCATCATTCAGTACACTTGATTCATATTTACCACACCTTGGCAGTCTTTGACAGCATTTTCAATGGCTTCAGCTGAGAGGATGGAAGTAAGTGACATATTCAAACTGTTGAGAGAATAAAACATTCCTTTACATGATGTGTATGCATGTGTGTGTGTGTGTGTGTGTGTGTGTGTGTGTGTGTGTGTGTGTGTGTGTGTGTGTGTGTGTGTGTGTAACATTCAAAAAGTGTAAAATACATCAAAATAATAGATTAGCTGTAACATTTACTTTGGCATCTTCTTGATCAATGCTACAATGCAATTTACTCTACTTTCTAGTCAATCCTCTCTTACAGAAATAGCTTTAAAATGAATTAAACATAAAACATAAACATATAAACATAGCGACTCTAATAAATTCAACAAGAGTTGTTAGATGTTAAGCAAAAAGCAGCATCTGACCTGTGAAGAGTCTCCTCGCGCTGATCTGGAGCAGAGGTAAGGCTGTGTGATAAGCGTCTCTCATCCGCTCACCTACTTATATATATATGTATATGCTAATGGGACGGACAATGAGAGATGCTTGGGTTACCTGTCAGTGTATCAAATTCGGATCGACTTGAATTTCTTGCCCAACTAATTATCCTTTACTATTTAAATGAGGCTCGGACCGAATGCGCGCACATGTGCCTGCACTTCGCCCTAATAACAGTGGGTATTTTGACAGAATCGCTCTGTCTCTCTCTCTCTCTCTCTCTCTCTCTCTCTCTCTCTCTCTCTCTTTCTCTCTCTCTCTCTCTCTCTCTCTCTCTCTCTCTCTCTCTCTTTTTCTCTCTGCGTGTGTGGTTCAGGTATCCACTACGTAATATAGAAATACCTGACATTTTTGACCCTGTTGGGACACTTTTATTGTCCCATAAACAAAACAACTTATACATCAACAATAAATAAACTTCTATAATAAATTTATAATAAATAAATAGACTAACACAAGTGCATTTTTACATCACTTTGTTAACACATTTAATTTCTCTGGAGCTCATTATATATTTACTCCATGGATGTTTGCAGTGTCTTAAATAATTTTGTAACAAGTATTTAATGCCTCGTTCTCATTGTATATATAAATAATTTGTATAATTATTTATGGTAGTGTTTAATATTGGACAATGGACATAATAATCTCTCTCTCTCTCTCTCTCTCTCTCTCTCTCAATTCATATCAGTAATTGTTTTATTAGGATGACAAATGGTATAAATGTATAGCCAAAGCATTTATAAAATTTACATTAAAGACAAAAGAACATACATGTATAAAACACAGAAACCACGGTAAATAGTAGAAGTGTAAAAAAAGATATGCAAATAATCATTAAATAAAAATATAAATAATATATAATTTAATTCAATATATCATATTATTATTCAATATATCATTATTATTCATTGTATCATTATTAATCAATATATAATAATACTCATTTATATCAATAAATAAAATAATAATAAAAGATCAGAATACACTGTACATTTAACTTTGTACATATTACTCTCTCTCTGTCTTTCTCTCAATTCAGTTCACTAATTGCTTTATTGGCGTGACAAATGTTACAAATATTGTCAAAGCATTTATAAAAAAGAAGATACAAATATACAGTGGTGGAAAGAGTACTTAAAAATCCAACTTAAGTAAAATTATCATTACTAGCCTAAAATGTAGTGGAAGTAGAGTAAAAGTATCTGTTGTGAATATTATTTATTAAGTATGAGCAAAAAGTAGACTTTTCAAAAGTACTCAAGAGAACAATGTAAAAAATAAAAAGTTAAGCTAACTTAAAATTTTAAAGCAATCGGCTGCAAATAAATTTTGAGTTTATTAAGCTTCAGTGGTTGAAGTTGCGCCAAATTATTATTTAAGTTGACTTAAAAGAAAAAAAGACTGAAAAGAAGACTGAAAAAAAGTTTTAAGTCAAGTAAACTTTATGGAATAATTTGGCACAACTTCAACCACTGAAGCTTAGTAAACTCAAACTTTCTTTGCAGCCGGTTGCTTTAAAAATTTAAGTGAACTCAACTTTTTGGCTTAAATGAAGAAATCAAAAATCTCCTCAACTGATTTTTTTACTTTCATTCTACAAACAGTTCCAAACATGCAGTTAAAGAGTTTTTTTTTTTATTAGTGTATAGTTCAAAAATATGTCCACCTAACAATTTGTAAGTTGCGAGTAGTGCGTATTACGCTGTAAAAAAAAAAAAAAAAAAAAAAAAAAAGATGTATTTACATGTAATTTGTGGATGTCTGTAAACGTAACATTCTGTAGTCCTTTCCCTGCAATCGGACCGCGACGTGCTCTTCCCAGCCAAAAGAGGTCACACTTGGACGGCACAAATGGTGTGTGGTTGGTCCGATTGCAACGTGATCTCCCCGGCCAAAATTGGTCGCGGCTGGACGGCTCAAATGCACAACATGTCCTAAAGTGCATTAATATACATTTGTACCTTTGTTTATAAACAACCAGAATATGGCACAAACGTCCAGAAGATGACATATTTCGATTAGCAGGGAGCGTGTAGAAAAGACGTGCAATTGATGATGTAACAGATGTGGGTTGGATTTTCATTTTGGTAGCCTACTACTTTTCAACCATGGCGGGACGTGACGGAGGGATGTCTTTTCAACTTGATTTTAGGTTGGACCTAAAATTAGGTCCTATGCCAACCCAAATTACTTTTCCAAACTTGTCCCCACGACGTTAAGGTACAACATCAATCTGATGTCATGATGCAATTTCGGTTATCATACAGTAAACATTTGTCAGAGCGAGGCAGTGGCACAGTAGGTAGTGCTGTCGCCACACAGCAAGAAGGGCGCTGGGTCGCTGGTTCGAACCTTGGCTCAGTTGGCGTTTCTGTGTGGAGTTTGCATGTTCTCCCTGCCTTCGCGTGGGTTTCCTCCGGGTGCTCCGGTTTCCCCCACAGTCCAAAGACATGCGGTACATGTTAATTGAGTAGGCTAAATTGTCCATAGTGTATGAGTGTGTGTGAATGTGTGTGTGGATGTTTCCCAGAGATGGATTGCGGCTGGAAGGGCCTCCGCTACGTAAAAACTTGCTGGATAAGTTGGCGCTTCCTTCCTCGGATTGATAAAGTGACTAAGCCGACAGGAAAATGAATGAATGAATTAATAAACATTTGTCATCTTCTCATCAGTGACATGCATCTAAACAGTCTCTGGGTCAATGTGTGTAAAGATTTTGGACTATATCATAAACATATATAACAATTATTCTAATAAAATGAAAATACAAATAAAAAACGTTTTTTCAACACATTTCTAAACATAATAGTTTTATATAAAAACTGAGTAACTTTATCTTTACCTTGATGACAGTAAATAATATTTGACTAGATATTTTTCAAGACACTTCTGTACAGCTTAAAGTGACATTTAAAAGCTTAACTAGGTTAATTTGGTTAACTAGGCAGGTTAGGGTAATTAGGCAAGTTATTGTATAATGATGGTTTGTTCTATATCGAGAGAAAAAAAAATAGCCTAAAGAGGCTAATAATTTTGGCCTTGAAATGTTTTTTTTTTTTTAAAAAAAGACTTTCTCGAGAAGAAAAAATATTATCAGACACACTGTGAAAATTTCCTTGCTATGTTAAACATTGTTTGGGAAATATTTAAAAATAAAAAAAATAAAAATAATAATTCAAAAGGAGGCTAATAACTCTGACTTCATCTGAATAATAGAATTATATACATTTAGTCTCATCACACATTTTTGCAGGGTCTTGAATAATTTATATAAGACATTTGCATTGTCTCATTCTCTTTGGAGGTTTCAGTAAATAAATAATAATTATATTTACATACTTAAATTATATTTACTTTTAATTTTATCATCAATAATTTGAGAACTTTATAAAGACACAATTTCATCAGCATATATGCAAACACAAACATCTCATATATTATATAATCTGTATATACACACTTATTTAACAACTTTGCAACTTTCACATTTGTTACAAAAGAGGTGTTACAATGTAATTTATTAACAGCGGAAATAAAAGATTATCTGATGCAATGTTTCACATTTTCCCAATGCTGAGAAATGAGCCACATGCACAAACATTGATTATACATTTCTTATTCTCATGTACTGCTTGACCTCTGTTGTCTGAATCACCTTTGGTCTGTTTCACAAGATTAGTTAACATCATCATGTATTATTGTGTGACCTATAGTTAATTAATAACAAACCTGAAGTTTGATGATATAGTACAAGATTTGTTTTTCCATTATACGTGCTTTTCTCCTTTTTTTCTGATTGATGGCTATGATGATAATGGCAAGTTTCTTTTGCAGCTTAAATATCTTTACATGTAATGAGATTGACTTTATCTTAGCTTTAAAGGACAGTTGGGAGTCCAGTCCACTTAAGTTGACTCTGAAGCTAATTATCTACTCATGCAACTTGAAACTTTTTCTCTTACATTATCACAGATCTGACCCATATCTGATAGAGTAATGATTGAGCACACAGACGCATCATTTGCTGGTCAGGAAAATCTGTCAGAATTCAAAGTAAAAAGTATGTGTGGACCAGAGAAAACAAACAACCTACTGAATCATATTACTGAATGATGCTTAATATCAACTTTAATGCATGTCTTTATTAATTGAAAATATGAAAAATATTTGTGTTGTAACGTTATGTGTCAAATTTAAAAGTGCATTAAACATAAATATGCAGCAACGTAGTAATCTTCTGGAATCTGCTGGAAATTGCATTACCAAGTAGCTTTCGCCTGTCAAGGAAATGGGAAGACAAGACATTGGAGACAACAAACCAATTCACTCTAATGTCACTGAACGAACTGGTAGTGTTACTGTATAGTGATCTATCCATTTACATTCTCTAATTTGGTTGTACAGTGCAGCCAGTGTGTCTTCTGTTGTCTTTTGTTTTCTGTCTTTTGAGTCTGCAATTAATTCTAAGCCAAAAATATATATATAAATATTACTGAAATTAATCAGAAACTTATAAAATGGTAAACAAACTGCACTCTTGTGCTTTTAGGGGGACATTTTTTTAACATGAAGTATGCAAATGAAAGTGTGTACAGGAGAGAGTAGAGGTGTAAGGCATATAAAATGTGGCAGGGAACTCCACCTAGTGGTAACCATATGTACAGTACATACAGAAGACTTTGAATGTATCTTACTTTCATGTACAATGTGCAGGCTTTAAAATCTGCTAGACTAGTCATTAGAGTCCCATTATTAATCAGGGGTCTCCACAGCAGAATAAAACCGCCAACCTTTCCAGCTAGGTTTTACACAGCGGATGCCCTTCCAGCTGCATCCCATCACTGGGAAACACCCATACACTCACATTCACACACATACACTACGGACAATTTAGCTTACCCAACTGACCTATAGCGCATGTCTTTGGACTTATGGGGGAAACCAGAACACATGGAAGAAACTTACGCGAAAATGGGGAGAACATGCAAACTCCACATAGAAATGCCAACTGATCCAGCTAGGGCTCGAACCAGTGACCTTCTTGCTGTGACCCACGTGCGACCCACTGCACCACCGTAACGTCCCACTTTCTATTCTGTGTAAAAGATGCGGTGGTGCAGTAGGTAGTGCTGTCACTTCACAGCAAGAAGGTCACTGGTAAAAGCCTCGGCTGGGTCAGTTGCTGTTTCTGTGTGGAGTTTGTATGTTCTCAGGGCATCCACTGAGTAAAACATATGCTAGATAAGTTGGTGGTTCATTTCGCTGTGGCAACCCCAGATTAATAAAGGGACTAAGCTGAAAAGAAAATGAATGAATGAATAAATGGATGAATGAATTAACAAACTTTAAAGCATGTTGTCATGACTTATTGATCATTTTATATAGATTATAATACTTTATTCAGCTTTGTAATTATTTGTGAAGAAATGTTTGTTTAATTTAGTATAATCGACTTATTATCTAAATCTGATTTTACTTAAAAACATGACACAACACAACAAAACATACCTACTCAGTAAATATACACACACACACACACATATATATATATATATATATATATATATATATATATATATATATATATATATATATATATGTGTGTGTGTGTGTGTGTGTGTGTGTGTGTATTGTATGTGTATATATATATATATATATATATATATATATATATATATATATATATATATATATATATATATATATATATATATATATATATATGCATGTTATATGTTGAAAAGTTTTAAAACGTCTAATTTTGATGTTAAAAATTCAACCAAGCAATTTAAAAAAGTGACTTTATTGAGCTTTTAGTATTCAAGTACACTTCACAAGTGTAATAATTGTGTAATGATAATTGTGTCTTCATAAGTGTAATTAACCCTCCTGTCGTGTTCACCTCCCGCTCCTTACTTTAGTGTTCCCGGTCAAAATTGATCAATTTGTTTTTACCTGCTCTTAAATGAGCAAAAACAACCTTTTTTAAACTAAATTTTTATTCAACAATCCTTAGCTGTAAAAATGTCTCAAAGTAGTGTTTAACTTGAATTTATAGAATTAGACATAACTATAGTAAAGTATATTCAATTAGTTTATTCATATAGTGCTTTTACAATGTAGATTGTGTCAAAGCAACTTAACATTAGTTCTAGGGGTTCAGGGGATGTTTTCTGTCTAATGGATAAATATAGTCTGGAAACTTATTCATTTGCTATGCTGGTCTCTTTTTGACCGGAAACACCACAGGTGTAACAAGGTTGACTAAAACACTCAAAATTCAGTGAAAGAGGTGATCATAACTTTTATGTTTAAATGCATAGTGTGGAGGATATCATAAGACAATCATGTAAAACACAATATTTAAGAGTTTTTTTTATTGTAAATTGGTCAGATTTGAACCAAACAAGGAAGGAAGGTTAATGTGTGTTATTTTAACAACATCATTTTGCCACTTATGTGTTCTGTTTTGATTTAGTTCCAGTGTTTCTTCCTGCAGGGCCATTGTTCTGGAGAATTTAGCTCCAACCCTGAATACAAATACCTGCCAGAATCCTGTAGCCCTTAATTAGTTTGTTCAGTTGTGTTTGATTAGGGTTAGAGCTTAACTATGCAGTGACTCATCACCTTAATCTATTGTTTTCTTTGCTTCCACTTTCCCAACTTTGCTTCCACTTTTTTTCCAACTTTGTTTCAGAGCCTTCTGCTATCATTTACCATTTTTTTATTAAAAGATAATTTTACACCTGCTCTCTAAACTGTCTTTTAATATTTTTTTATGTTCCCGACAAAGTCACTGCCAATGTGATTCTTTGTATTGTAGAAATAGTTGAGCTATAATTTCAGTGTAATATTTCGACAGATTAAGAAGACCAAAGACTCAGTAATGAAAAATAGTATTTATTTTCTCATTGTCCTTTCCCCAAAACAGCGCCAAAGATTTTACAGAAACCAACATTCATATCTACAATGCGAAAGACCATGTGACGTTGACAGTCGTTGTGGACGGAGTGCAGCATGGGAGTGGACAGTCAGAATTGTGTATAAAAATCAGCCACCCAGATAAAAAAGTGGAGATCTCAGGCTACGATTGTGGTTGTCAGAATAAGGTGTTGGCTAGATCCCATTTATGCCTTGACCAAAGAGGCGAACTCTGTAACATCAAGGACAAACAATAAACCATTATCAGAACTCATTGGAAACATATTTAAGCAATTATACATGTGATATCTTCAACAAGAAGCAAATTCCTCACCATCAACTCCAATCTTGCCGTCACCATCAGAGTCTCCAGCTTTCAGGAAGGCCTTTGTCTCTGCATCAGTGAGTGCCCTGGCACCAGCAGAGAAATTCTGCAGGAACAGTCTGAAGATCACATAATCAGAATTAGGTGTCTTTTCAACATTTGTGACACCAGGTCATTAAAATTTGTATGTTAACTCGGTGTGAAACAGAAGTCACCATAGCTTGTTCTTCCCTACTTTGATTTATATGTAAAAGAGCAAGAAAAAAATTGTATGGCAGGGATTAATTTGACTGATTTGGGAATTGATGGACCATTTAATAATTCTGCTTTGTGAGCCTGGATCACAAAACCTTCTTGTCTTATGTTGTACAGGTACATTTTTGACAATGGCCAAAAATACACCATATGGGTCAAAGTTAGTGATTTTCTTTTATGCCAGAAATCAGTAAAATAATAAGCAAAGGTTGAGTTCTATGAAAATATTCTGTGAATTTCTAACAGAAAATATATCAAAACTTAATTTCTGGTTAGTAAATTTCCTTGCTAAGAACTTAATTTGGAATATTTTAAACTTTTTTTCATATTTACAATTTTATACATCTATTGAATGTTTATTTAATCAACTTTCTGTTCATCGTCAATCAACACTTTGTGATGTTGAAAGCTGAATTTCAGAAAAATTACTCTTTTAATGGGTTTTGTGGTCTATTATCACATTTGTCAATGTACGTTTATAACGGTCAATGTTGTACATAAGTGACAGATTGGCAGAAGAGGAAGATATCATGAGGCTTTATAATTTTTGCAAGATTAATCTTGCTTAATCCAATATTAAATAAATAATAGGATCGTTTAATTTTAATTCCCTGATTACTTCAGTATCACAGCACAATCAAAGATTCTGCTTACTTAAGCTCATCCTCCTCAATGAAGCCGCTCTTGTCCTGGTCAATGACAGCAAAAGCCTTCTTGATGTCATCAGGAGTCTTGGCGGACAGCCCAACCTTGGCGAAGAAGCTCTTATAGTCGAAGGAGTCAGCAGCTACAAAATATATGTGATTTTTAGCTAAAGGGTAGAGGTACTAATCCATCAATGCAAAAGTATAAATTTCCTTAATGTTTAAACCTTAAAATGAAAAAAAAAATCATCAAATGCATGCCCTCATTTTGTTCCAAATCCACAGGACATTCTTTCCTTCATGGAGCAGGGAAGGAGATGTTAGCCAGAATGACAGTCTCAGTCACCTTTCACTTTCAGTAAATTTATTATCCAAACATGAAAGTGAATAGTGACCAAGGCTGCCATTTTGTAACATTCTGCCTTTGTGTTCCATGGGGAAAATAATGTCTTGAGGGTTTGGAATGGCATGAAATCTCACTTTTGGTTGTAGTCTATAAGGGTTACCTTGGCAGGCCTGCAGGGCTGCAGTGATGTCAGCTTCATTCAGAATACCAGCGAATGCCATGGTTAGCCTATAAAAATGTCAGAGGTTTTCATTTTATTAGGATAAACATACATTTAAATTCAAATACACAAACATATATTTCAAGAACACATTTATCCATCAACAAAACACTCAGAAATGATAAGCTCCCATTTGCAGCCATATTAATTGCATGCCTGCAATAAATCCCACCCAGTCTTGTCGCAATCAAACAGCTTTAAAAAAAGAGTGATATCCCAACACGTACAAACTCCAAGACACAAATTATTCCCTCTCCAGGTGCCAGAGACTTAATACGTCAAACACATCCTTTCCAGAAGTCGTATGGAAGCTGTTAGCTGTTCGTGTTCGGTCTTCTTTCTTTCGGCAGTGAAGAGACTCACCTCTGGTTGTCTTCGGGGATTTGGGTTTGGATTCGCAGGGATGAAACTGGCTACTGCAGTGGGCACCAACTCCGTGGCTTCCACCTTATATACCTCTACTCAAACGAAATATAAGGCATAATGTAATGGATACCGCAAGAGGGGCAGTTGGTTGAAAAAACTTGTCCAGTAGTCAGGCTGTTCTATTTATATGCTCTAAAATGAAGATGCTTAAAAGGTATATGTGTAAGTCCTTAATTTCGCGATGGCTAATAATATACGATGCTGATATGGATGAAAGCCCGCGGTGGGATGATTTTGAAGACGAACGGCAAGAGATAAGTTCATTTTGCATGGGAGAGTTCGCATTAGTTTTGTAAAGCGTAGAGCAAATCGTTTCGACGTGTTTGGAGTCTCACGAGGAAGCTCCTGAATCCATTGACACCATTATACTGACTTTTTTGGCCGTTATATGTTAGCTTTGAAAGTGGAAGGTAAATGCATCGTTAGAACTTCTAACGTGTGTTTATTTTACACGTGTAAACAGTCAATGGTTACAGTTTTGCGCTCCTCTCCGTCTTCCTAATAGTTTCTTCATTTGAAGCCATTGCAGTTGCTTTGATCAGACCTGTGGTATAATCGGTCTAGAATTTAAACATTGTTCAAACAGATACTCTTCATAGACCACGTACGAATTAGCCACTAAACTGGCAAAATTTAAAATACTTAATTTTCTCGTGAGATCAGGCTGAATAGACGGACATAGTTCATGTCATTTTGTAGTAGACTGAACGTGTTGCATTTATGAATACATTAGTCTATGTGTTGTGATTCATTATGGCTTTATCACTTTTTAATACTTTACTGGATTTGAATTTAAAAACGTATTATTCTTCTCTGCAGATTTCTTTTCAGTTCCTATACTGGCTATTGTATTATTTGCTATTTGATGCTTTGCCTTTGCTATTGTGTAATTTTGAATTGAAATTAAAAGTGTTACATTTATAAAAACAATATGCGTTTTGATTTATAATGGCTTTTTCACATGTTGCAAAACAGTCAATAAGCTGGATTTGAATTTATAAACTTCCTATTCTCAGTAGCCTTCCTTTCAGTTCCTATACTGGCAATTGTGTTGTGAATATAGTTAGTAATTCTGAATTAAAATTTAAATAAAATGCCCTTTTTGATATTGATACACAATAAATCCCGATTATAAATAAAACCCTACAATCTCTAATATCAATAGTAATCTCTAATATCAAAACTCATTCAAAATTATGATAATGACAGGTGTATTGGAGAAAGATAAGCTTTGTTGCACTCTCAGGAAAAAAAAAGATACTTGGTGGTACAAGTAGTGTTCCTTGTTAAATTGTACCTATATGTTACAGAAAAGACCTCTTATGACACTTTTTTTTGTACCTTTTATAATTCAACTGAAATGAAGGCACACAATTGTTCTTATTTAAAATGTACAAAAATGCTGGACAACTCCATTATTACAATATCTCTGAAAATAAACCTCACTGGAAAGACAAAATAATTTTATGAGTAATTTCCATATTAAAACATGAATCATCATGTAAAATTATATAAAGAAACTTATAAACACTAATTATTAAGTTCTAGAATATAATAATACAAACAACAGGTAAAATATAAAACTATAGGTATTGTATACTAAACATTTAAGACATTTTAAATAAATGTTTAATAAGCATTTTTGATACTGTTAAGGTACTAAGTGTCTTGTCACTGTGGTGGTATCTTTATGGATCAGATTTGTACCTTTGATGAAGGTACAATGCAGGTTTTAAAAAAAACAAACATTTTGGTTTCCCATGGTACAAATCATGTCCTTAAAGGTACAAACTGCAAGAGTACAAATTAGTTTCTTTGTCTCAAGGTACAATTCTGTTTCATAAAAGGTACTGTCACAACATTGTACCGTTTTTGTCTGAGAGTGTATAATGAAATGACAAACGAGACTATCAGAAGGAAAAACATTCCCTTTCAGCAGTCTTTAACATCATGACAAAGTGAATTTAGAGACTTTGCATTGTTTAAAGTAATATTAGAAATATCTATATGAAATAGTGGACATCTAATGGCAGAATTACGCTGCAAAGGTGGAAGACATGCCTCTGAAGTGCAAATGGAGTGTCTTCACAGACTTTTTAACTCTCAAAGGTGGCATAAATGCATTTAGGCTATACAGCAACTGCATACTGCTATATGCTCTGGACTGAGGTGTGTCAGAGCAGGAATAATTTAGTCAGGATAGCTTTGTGCCTTTACACAGAATTGTAAGCAAGCACAGACAAGCGTAACTGTGTAAAGATGACCACTTCTGCCATATTTGTAATTCTAAATTGTTACTCTGTGCATATTGACATTATATTAGAGACCAAACTTTTTTCAAGGAGCAAAGAGGCATTTAAATGTTTCTTAGTGGGCTGTTAGAACTGTGCAGCAAGTGGCTACACTCCAGGGGAGGGTGCGCTTCACTTGTCGTGCTTCAGTCATGTTACAGTATGCGTATGTGATATGCCTGTGGATTCTTGAGTATACAGTGACACTCTCACTCAGTCACTGAGAGCTGAGAGTGACGCCTGCACAAGGCTCATTTGCTCTCTTTCTGTTGATCACGATTAATCGGGCATGTTTACAAATCCTCATGCAGCTAAGCAGAGATAATTCCCTATATCTGTCATTTCAACAATGCCCACACGTTTTTATTGCCTATTGTCTGTGCTTTTTCTTGGTTGTGCTAATATTATCACTTAACAATGTACATGATACTCTGCATATTTTCTCAGAAAAAAAGACAAAGCCATCACTGTTGCTGTAAATTTGCAAAAAATATGTCTACTTTTAAAGTATGTAGTTTTAGGGTACCAAATATGTACCATTTAGAGCAAATTGTGTACCTTTTAGCCTTACAGTGATCGCTTTGTACCTTTTTTTTGTGTAATAGCAGTTCTACCAATTTAGAAATTCAAGCACAAGTGAGACTCAGACAAGATGAGGAGAGATTGTTTTAAATCAAATATATTTTTATTTCCTTAAAGTGCAATGAGATTGTAAGTTTGCACATGGATGGAGTTTTACAGAACAATACAATGCAATGAAACAACATTAATAATAAATAGCTTTTCAAGACATTGAACATGGTTCTTTGTGAGGACGAGTTTGCAGGGCATTCATAAATAAATATAAAAAAGATGATAAGCAGAGCTCTGGGTCCGAAGGCAAGGGTCCATGAATGCTTAGGCCTTTACAAGCAAAGCAAACTCTGTGGAAACAAAAGGAGAAAAGCAATTAGAGTCATATCAACAGCTCTTTTATATCAGTTTAAGGTTTAGAGTTCTTCTCTAAGCTTTCAAGTATTGACTAGCATCAACTATTCATTACTATATTCAATTAGCTCATCAAATTGTTGATTTACTATGAATAATAAACTATAAAAAGCTATCATGTTTAAAACAACAAATGCAAGATACAAAAAGATCAGTTCATTCATCAGATCATCAGATCATTCAAAGATCAATTTTCTGTTTAAGGGATAGTTGCCCCAAAATTAAAAATCTGCCATCATTCTTTTGTTAAGCCCAAAAGAAGACATTCTAAGGAAAGCCAGAATCCTGTAACCATTGACTTTTATAGTATTTGTTTTTCCTTAGTAAATTGTAGTAAATGGTTATAAGTTTTCAGCTTTCTTCACAGTATCTTCTTTTGTGGTCAACAGAAGATAGAAGACCATAAAGGTTTGGAACCATTTGAGGTAGAGGAAAAAAAGAGCAAATCTTAATTTAATGGTGAACTGCCCCTTTAAGATTGTTTCACCAAGATTAGACTGAATAGTGCATTATGTAACAAAGACTTGACTCTTTATAAAAAGATTATTGTTTTGAATTTAAAAGTAAGTACCATCAACTCCAATTTTGCCGTCGCCATCACTGTCGCCAGCTGAGAGGAAAGCCTTGGTCTCAGCATCGGTCAATGCCCTGGCACCAGCGGAGAAGTTCTGCAGGAACAGTCTGGGAACGTTGAGGAGAGCATTTAGTTAATTAACTATATAATATAATATAATATAATATAATATAATATAATATAATATAATATAATATAATATAATATAATATAATAATGTGTAAGAATTAGCTCATTAATTGTAAGTTTGCGCTTTCTTACTTCAGCTCATCCTCCTCAATGAAGCCGCTCTTGTCCTGGTCAATGACGAAGAAGGCCTTCTTGATGTCATCGGGAGACTTAGCGCTCAGGCCAACCTTGGCGAAGAAGTTCTTGTAGTTGAAAGAGTCGGCAGCTGTAAAATATGACAAGGAAAACACATTGAAAATCAGGAATTTTATTAGCATTATTAAAATTACCATTCTTCTTTTGGAGAGTAATATGATGGACATGTCTTACCAGCGCAATCCTTAAGGGCTGCAGCCACATCCTCGTCCTTGAGAATTCCAGCAAAGGCCATTTTGATTTTTTCTGTAAACAAGACCAAAAACAAGATGAGGATTCAGTCAGTCAATGTAAAAGCATATAAACTTGAAGATTTAATGTTATTTCTTATAAATAAAACTTTTTAAGCAACCAAGAAGTTGATCCAATAAACATCATCTAAATCCCCCATCAGTTAGAGTTCGTTAGAGTTAAAGAAATCTTCCTACAGTTATTATATGATCTCAGTAAAAACATATCGCAATGCCAACCAAATGTAAAGCACGAAAAAATCATTTGAAAGAATAAACAATCATTGCAAGCTCATCCAAAGGCTCAGAAGGTAGCAGGTCCTCGGTTTGCTTTGGTTGTTTGCTTTGCTGCTTTCGCGTTTTCAGTCCTGCCGTAAAGTCCGTTTACATCCCCATTTAGTTCCTTCTTTTTCGTTTATCGTATTCCACTGATTAGAAAATTGATCGAGCCCTGTTGTATGATCCTGAGGCCTCTGGGAAACTCACCGTTGCGCTGCGCTGTTACTGTTCCACAGATGTGCGACGACTACCCAAGTAGCCACGGGCCCCGCTTTTATACACTTGTCTGTGGTGTTGTAACGGACACCATTTGCTTAGGTTGAGCAAAGTCTCGAAAAAATGTGTCCACTAGTCATATAGCTCTATTTTTATCCTCGCAAAAGGGGATGATGCTCTGATTCCTTATGGGAAACTCAGGAGAGACACCCTAGCCCACATAAGCGCTTAGAATATGCTTGGAAATCTGCGCAATCACATTTAATTAATTATTTGTTTCATGATTCTCATATTAGTTTAAATTTTACATCACCATATCAAATTATATGCGAATTGCCTCATATGAAAAAAGTTTGTCACATTTTTTTTTACATAGCCTATTTGGAGTATGAGTGAATATTGTTTGAAAGGTATTTATTTATTTGTGTGTCTGTCTGTCTTTATCTTTACTTCTATTGAAATAAGTTTCAACAGCATTGAAATTTTTGCATGTCTTAAATTACTGGGATTTTTTTGTTATTTGTTGGAAATAATTATTTAATTCAGCATTCCTTCATGAATTTTACACCATGATTATTGTTTAATGTTTATTTTACACATTTTTCTTTTAATTTCTTGGGAACGGGTGTTAAAGCATTTACAGTTTCTGAACTATATATATAATTTCTATACATGCAGTAAGATGATGCTAAGCAGTTTCTGGGACAGCTGGGGGACTGCAGGAGCAAACGCTTCAGAGTTTCACATTACTGACAAATATGATTAAACACTTGAGATTTTTTCTCTCTGAAGGAGGCTTTCTCAATATTTGATTGAATGCAAGACATCCAGTGCAAAAGATCCTAAAAAGTAAATAAAAACAAATGAAATTAATAACATTTAATTAAATTTGTAAGTGAAAACACTGGAATTTTGTGATCTAAAATTTATTTTAACTTATAAAAACATAACCTTGTCTGACCAATCATCATTTTATGTTCTAAATGACAACATTTAAAGCAGAAAAGTAATCAGTGGTTTGAAGAACTACATTTTACTCAAAGTTATATCCAAGATGTAACATATTATAACATATTCACAATGCATATGCAACAAGTCTTGTTCAGACAATTAGTTTGTATCACATTTATTTTTTCAGAAAGGCCAAACAATACATTACATTAAAACAGTTCAGATTTTTCCAAACTGACAAGGCCCCAGAAAACCTTTTCTTTCCAACATATTTGTCATTAGAGCTGAAAATTCTACAGGAAATAAGGAGATGCAGATAAATCTCTTGAATCTATACATATCACATCTTATTTATAAAATAGGCTGTCTGAGTATTTTTGATGCCAACCCTCCCATCCAATCTTCCCATCGCCATCTATGTCTCCAGCCACGAGGAAAGCCTTGGTTTCATCTGCTGTAAGGACACGAGTCCCTTTTGAGAAACTTTGCAGAAATAACCTAAAGAATTAGATATATCTCAATGTGCTACTGATCAACATCAATAATAATCAACAATGAGATAGTAATTAGATTAGATTATTTGCTTAACACTGCAAAATAAATAAATATATGCTGTAAACTGTCCCAGAGATGGGTTGGAGCTGGAAGGTCTTCCGCTGTGTAAAAACATGCTGTATAAGTTGGCAGTTCATTCCGCTGTGGCGACCTCGGAATAATAAAGGGACTAAGCCGAAAATAAAATAAATGAATGAATATATGCTGTAAAGTATAGTGAAAACACATTCATGCTAGAACAATTAACAATTACTGCAGCTTTAAGTATTTCCTTATTTTTGAAAAATCATAGTTAACTTAAACCAATGCATCTTTTGAGACTTGATACCGCTTGTTTCATACAAACAACTGCTGCCGTTTTATATACTAATTATACTGAAAAATGTCAGAATTATTGGAATACTGTTCATCTTCAGGCCTTTTGTCTTTTTCTGATAGATAATATAGAGGCATGGGTTTTAAGGCATAACATGTCGTTTTCGCCACTAGAGGGCATGTTATCATATAAATAGAAGTGAATTTTGATGACTGTGACTAGGCTTGGAATCATGGAAGTCGTCATCTCCATTACATCCTCTAGGATTAGGAATAATGTTCATGAATGAGCTGAAGTATTAAAATCTTAGTTTCAAGCAGAGTAAGACTGAAAGCTTTCAAAGTGAAATATGCTGAAGCAATTGCTGATGAAGGTGACGCAGTGGCGCAGTAGGTAGCCTCACAGCAAGAAGGTCACTGGGTCGCTGGGTCTCTGGTTTGAGCCTTGGCTCAGTTGGCGTTTCTGTGTGGAGTTTGCATGTTCTCCCTGCGTTTGCGTGGGTTCCCTCCGGGTGCTAGAGTATGTGTGTGAGTGAATAAGTGTGCGTGGATGTTTCACAGAGATGGGTTGCGGCTGGAAAGGCATCCGCTGCATAAAAAACATGCTGGATAAGTTGGCAACCCCAGATAATTAAAGGGACTAAGCCGAAAAGAAAATGAATGAATGGCTAATTTCTGCCTGAAGAAAGTTGAATGTGCTAGCCAGCTTGTTATTTGCCTATTAAAAGAAATAGACTACAGTTTTTTTTTTATTTAAAACTTTAATAGATTCCTTATTTTTCTAATTATGTATTAAATTTGTATTTATTTCACATTTCTTTATTATAAATCTTCAGGAAATATTTTTGGTAAAATCAAATAGTGTGAGTATGACCATCCAACAAGCTTTTTGAGCTAAAAAAAAATGCTTAAAATATGAGTAAAAAGCAGTATTTATATAAAAAGATAGGCTGGCTACGGGCCTGCAGACTTAACATAATTTTCACTTCTAGACACAAAGTCATACATAATAAATGGAAAGTACTCAACTATAGCTCATCTTGCTCAATGAACCCACTCTAGCACTGCGTCAACATTTTAAAAACCTTCGCTGTCATTATTGGATGTGTGCCTGCAAAATATGTTTTAAAGGCGATGACCCTGAAATGGAGAATTTTGCTCGGAGAAATGTGTTTATTTTCCTCAAAGGTCAAATTAAGCTTATTTTACGAGTCACTTAGAATTAAACTGTTGAGTTTTACAATTTTTAAATCATTCAGCCGATCTCCGGGTCTGGCAGGGGAATTTTTAGCTTAGCTTAGCTTAGCTTAGCATAAATCATTAAATCTGATTAGACCAATAGCCAAAAAAAAAAAAAAAGTTTTAATAATTTTCCTAATTAAATCTTTACTCTTCTGTAGAAAATTAAAAGTATTCTCATTTCATCTCTCCATGATAATCTGCAGTACAATGGCTGCATCAGGCATAATGATATTATACAGCTTAGTTATCTACCTGGTGACTACTTTTAGGCACTGTATAATATATTATTGTGCCTGCTGCAGCTATAGACGGCAGCAATGTTCCTTGATTATTATGCCAGTATAATCAGAATAAAGATTTTTTTTGTCAGTCTAAGTACACGATGTAACTACAGGAGATAATAGCTTAAACTTTTTCTTAAATGTATGGATAAAATGCTAATGGTCTAATCCAATTCAGTGATTTATGCTGAGGTAAGCTACAAGTACTCCCGCCAAACTTGACTGACTGGATTACAAAATGTTTAACTGTATGTGACTAGTTAAACAATTCCAAAAGAAGTGGAGTGTTCCTTTAAAGTCAATATCTTTGTAAACATCCTGTTATTGCTTCGCTGTCATTATTGGATGTGTGCCTGCAAAATATGCTTTAAAAGCGATGACCCTGAAACTGAGAATTTACGTATTTATTCTCCTCAAAGATCAAAGGCCGTAAGCTCAATCGCACAATAAGATGAAGTCCACCTGTTTTGGTGTGTTTATTTTACTCTACCGAGAGCTTTGTCTTTGTGCACATGCTGATCTACAGCAGGCAGACTGTGAACCGCTGTGACGTCAGCTTCACTTCCTCCCCAGGCTCTTTTCCTGAGGATGGACGTCTGTCTGCTTGTGTGTGCTGCCAACCAGGGGCCAAAGCAATGACAAAAACATCCCGCTACCTGCCCCTGTGGCCTTGTCCCGCTCCATACTACCTCTTGTTTGCAGGAAGGCCGTGTTTCCTGAGTGACAGCGATTAATGGATCAGGGCCGGACTTTTGTGTTCTCAGTGATACAGCTGTCTTTGTTCTTGTTTATACACTACATCAGGTGCACTGACCAGTGTCGGGAGCAATGTGATTTTAGAAAAATTCCTAAAGGGATAAACTAAAGATTTTATCTGGTAAGTTAAGGGGATTTAGAATATTCTTTTTTTGGTGACTCAAATTTGTACATTTTTATTTTGTATTGCTGTTAATTGTTGTTTTTACTGTATAAAGAATAGTGTTGATGACTATGTACATGTATATTTAATGGCAAGGATGTTGTTTTTACTACTTTTGGACCTGAATATTGTGTTAGCGGTGTTTGTTCATATGGCAATGTGTTTTTTTTTTACATGGCTGTTAAAAAATGTTATAGCTTTTTAAATACTGAAACATGTTGAGCTTATAAAAAAATTGTACTTTTAAGGTACAATAGCTTGTGACTGGGACATAACAAAAAAAACTTTTTTTAAGTAATTTATTTACCCGTTGAAGGGATAGTTCACCCCAAAATGAAAATTTTGCCACTTGTTTCATCCCTGTTTGAGTAATTTTTTTTCTGCTGAACACAAAGCAAGGTGTACTAAAAAATATAAAAAGGCAAACATTGACCCTATATATTTCTTCCTTTGTTTGTTTATGGATGTCAGTGGCTTTTTACACAACATTTTTTCCCAACATAGTTTTCCCCCAACAATATCTTGTTTGTATTTAAGAGAAGAAATTTTAGAAAGGTTGAAACCACTCGAGTGTAAAAAAATGGTTTATTCTTTATTTTTGAGTGAACTATCCCTTAAAGTTGCATATGAGCACACATTTGAATATATGTATGGACGTTTTATTAGCAGATACAAACATGTCTATTTGTTAGTGTGTCTAGATAAAAACACATTTTACATATGTTTTAGAGTGTGTTGTTTTTGTTCTTTTATGTGATTTAAAGCAGTGCTTTCTTATTTTTTATGCATCTCATATTTTTGAGATTTATTGGAACATTTGTGGATTTACGAATACATTTGTCGAACCCACAGACAGTGAAAACC